GATAGATAGATAGATAGATAGATAGATAGATAGATAGATAGATAGATAGATAACAGACAGATCAACAAACATAGAAACTGAAAATATCATATGTGTGTGTATGTACACACACACACACACATAACATATAACATTTTCACAGTTTATATAGTATTTTTCTCATATAGAATTTTGCTCAAAAACTGGGATATAGTTTTGTTTTTAAGGAAGGTCTGTAACTCTTCCCACAAAAGACCATTTGGAGCATTTATGGTCTGTATGAGGTCAGGGATATCCTTTCAGAAACACACTGAATAAATATTTAGATGATGAGCCCTCATTGCTCCTTGGAGCCTATCAATAATTCATACTTTAGAAGGTCTTAAATACATGATAAACCATAACAACTCCAGTGAAACATTCAGTATTTATAAACTATTAGATAAGATTTAAAGGAGAGAAAAAAATCTTTCTTTATCTTCTTTAAAGGTAATTGTTTAAAATAATAATGGAAATATATACTTATAGATCTATATTTTTGTTATGTAAATTTTAGTGCTACACACAATTAGCATGTAATCAGTTGGAAAAGATCTACAACTACTCATGTAAAATTTTCAACAGAGAAATAGGAAATTAAGTCAGATGATGTAACCTCATCAATTAAACTGATTTATCCATTGGAAACTGCTTATTATAGATTTTCATGTTAATTGAGATACTATCCAAATTAGTTATTTTCAATAATGCAGAGGCCTTTGCATTAGCAGCCACTTGTTTACATGCTTCTTTATTCCTAACAGATGATAGTAATCCATGGATGCTAGAGACAGATCCAGGAGGACACCTCATTCTAGGTAAGTAATATGTAAGTAACATCAGGCAAATTTCTCTTCTCTTTCAAAATCTTTCTCAATACTTTTCTGCCTTATCTTGCTTGCATCTTGCCTTTCCTTACTAAAGCATTCCTCACCCATTTTTAATTTTTTAACAGTAAATGTCAATTAGTAATTGTAATTTAGCAATAATTCTACAGACTACATAAGTGCCATGTTTCTGTTTAAAGGGTTTATAATACATATTCAATGAATAAGTGGGTTGGAATTCAAAAGTGAAAATGTTGTGGAATATAGCCTGTATCCATAAGCACAAGGAATTAAATATGCGTATCTATCTGCACTCTCTGGTGGTATTATTTCTTTCTTTAGTGAATTGTGCAATAGCCCAAGCTGTGATGGATTTCATTAATCTCCTTCACATAAGGGAGCAAAGTAGTGCAGGCAAGTGATTTTTAAGGCTGACTTTAATGTAATTGCAAAATAATGTTTCTTAATAGAGTCAGACTGAAAAATGCATGAGCAAAATGATTGGAAAGTCAACTTGGGTCACTTTGTTTGCTCAAGAAACAAATATCTTAGTGAGTAATTAAATTTGTTAATCTTTTATGTAGGGTTTTATTGGAAACACATGTTTTGGACCAAAGAGCCCTTTGTAACTGGGCCCTTTAAGTTGAAAAGTAGCTGCTAAATACCAGAGCAGGACAAAAATTCTAAATCTGAGGAATTACATTTTTCTTGTTTGTTCAATTACAGCTAGTAATTGTATGTGTTTTTTGACCAAACACCATTGATAGACTTTGCTCTATCAACTTCTACTTCAGAATTCACTTAGAGCCATTTTTCTACTATTTTGTGTGCCTCTCTTAACAACTTGTACTTATTAATAATAATTAATAGATTTTTATTTTTAATAGAATTAAAGGAGTAATAAGTTCATATCACTAAGCTTTTGTCATACCTTGTCTTGAAATCTATATAGTAAGTGTATGCATGTGCACATACACACCTACGGGCATACCTCATCTTTTCTGTTGTAGATATCAATGAATAAGATTGGGGCATGAAAGTTATATGATTTTGGAAAAGGAGATAAAATGCAATATTGTCACTTACATCTCTTGGATCTTCTTTACATGAATAATTTGTGAATGAAGTTAATTAGATGAAGATGTAGGTTAGGATGTATTAAATTTTCAATTGTATTACAGGTTGATATTGTAATGTAGTGATACATCAATAGATACATAAACATTAATATCATCTATAGACTATGCAAAAGAGACAAACCACAGCCCCCCAAATGAAGAAGATTCCAACACCTCTCCACTAGTAACCAATAACCAGATCAGCTTAGATTAATTCCAAGGTTAAGTTCATACCAACAATCAAGTAAGCAATACTTCAATTAAGAAACTGCCAAAGAGCCATCAGCAAACAGTCCAGAAGGAATCTCTAAGACTACCCCCCATCAGTGGTGGGTTGCAGGCAGTACACCCCAGCCCGGGCATACTGGAGCCTGCCCAGAGCACCGGGTACTGTTCCGGTACCGCCGAGCAGCTGGAGCATTGCAGAGGCTTGCAGAGGCATCGCTGGCAGTTCACCGACAAAAGGGCGAACGACAAAACAGCGCCCGACTAAACCGCTGTGATAAAACCACGTGTTCTAAAGCACCCCGATGAATGAGCGCTGAATCGCGCCAACAACAGCGCGGAGACAGAAGCGTGCTGTAAAACTAAACCTAACCCTAACCCTAATCCCTAACGCTAAATGTAACCCTAAACGTAACGCTAACCCTAACCTTAACCCTAACCCTAAACCTAAACCTAACCCTTAACCTAACCCTAAACCTAACCCTTAACCTAACCCTAAACCTAACCCTAAACCTAACCCTAAACCTTAACCCTAACCCTAAAACTAAACCTTAACCCTTACCTTAAGTTAAATCGGCTTTCTGTATCCGCGCTAATGTAAAGCACCCTTCTGTCTCTGCGCTGTTGTCTCCGCGCTGTTGTCGCTGCGTTGATGATGTCGCGGTTTTAGCGATGTGGTTTAGTCGGGTGCGGTTTTGATGTTCGCCCTTTTGTCGGGTCACGTCGCTGGCAGGTATGACATATGCGCTGGCAGGTATGCATGTGTTGGCAGGTACACATGGGCTGGCAGGTACGATGCATTTGTGCGCCATGTGTGCACGCTTGCGTGCTGCACACGTCCATGTGGACGACGCCAGGCCCATTCCAACCGTACCAGTTGGAAAGGGATCAGGAACCCACCACTGGCCCCCACCCACATAGATAGGCAAGACAGCAGAATATAAACTTACAGTAAAAAACCCTCCTTACTAGCACTGGTGATGTTACCTAGTTAGGGTAATGAAATGTCTGCAAGAAAACAAGCAAGCTCAGAGAGCACCAAGGAACCTCAATATAATGATTACTTAAGTATCTAGAACATTTTGTTTGTTTATTTGGGTTACCATAAATGAATGAATAAATGATTTTGGGAATATCCAAAAGGCTAAAGAGCAAGCAAAGAGACACAGAAAACCCTAATGATTTGCTACCATCTAATGATGGTCTAGACATGTGCAGCCCAAATACGGTAATTTTATTATTTATATAATTCCACTAAGTTTTCTGACTAATTATATAATTTCTGCTTAGTTCATGTAATAAAGCTATGTAATAAAAATGAATTAAATCTATGAACAATTTCACATGGTGCATGCTTTATATGCAAGAGATTCTGGGTTCTGTTTAAATAGGGCCAACAATTTCTTCTGTGAAAACTGTTACAGTTAAAAAAAATTGGCCGGAGAAATTTATTTTTTTTACTCTATATAATACAGCTTACTTTGTTCTTGTGCATTATAATTATACTATAGCCATAGCCATAGCAGTTAGACTTATATACCGCTTCATAGGGCTTCCAGCCCTCTCTAAGCGGTTTACAGAGTCAGCATATTGCCCCCAACAACAATC